AGAGAGAGAGAGAGAGAGAGAGAGAGAGAGAGAGAGAGAGAGAGAGAGAGAGAGAAAAGCAACGTGCGCTCGCATGGCCTAACAACACAGAAGTTTTTTAATGTGTGCCACTGAAATGAAGATTGCAACATTTTTCTTCGATTCGCTCCTACTATTTGCCGTTTGGAAGCTTTGTTATTGGGTTTTACTTTATGTTTGCCCGTGTGCTTCGCTTCTTTTTTATTATTGTTTTACGCTGAGTGTCGTAATCGACATAAATGGAATGCGAAATGCAACCATTCAACGAAATCTAGTTAAATTGTTGTTAATGTAATGATGTCAGATGATGAAGCTAAGAAAGTTGGTCAATCACTTAATTCTGTTTGAGGCTGCATTTTGGTTTGTTCTTCTTTTTCCTCTCCTCTCAATCTAACATCAATGGATCATCTATGGAGCGGTCAATAGAGCTGTTTTTTTCTTCTGTGGCGGTTTCATGTTTCGATTGGAAACAATTCAATTGGAAAAATAAATTATTAGAATTGATTCTTTCGAACGAAATGCGCACAAGATTCAATGTCGCAAGGTCCCAACGGTATTAAAATCGCTATGGAATTAAGCTTCTTTTCAAAGCGATCGCAATGCTTTTTCTTTTCTTTTCAATTTCATTGTGTTTGTGTGTTCGCGCAAAAATTCGGACACTCACCAATTGTCGGAGCGTTTGTGTGTCGGACTTTTGTTTTTGGAATTAGGCGATTTGACATGGTGTGACTGTCACGATAATCTAGCGAACTATTGAAATGGATAATTCAAGTTAAAAAAAATAATGAGCTTAAAACAAAACGTCGATACTCTTAACCAGGCGAGAAGGAAAAAAAGCTGAATGTGAAACCGGCAGCTCAAGCAAAGAAATATGAAATGAAAATCACTTTACAATATTTGCTGCAGGCGACTTAACGAGAGAGAGAGAGAGAGAAAATGTAATCTATGCATAGAATAGTGTATTTGTACAAGGAAATTTCGATATATATTTTTTGTTTGCGTTTTTGCTGATGCACAATTCAATTTCCGCAACATTCTGTTTCAACAAAGAATGATTTTTCCTTTCCGAAACGTTAAGCATCAACAAATAAAAACGATAAAAAAATGATTTACGGAATGACTTAGCATTTCCATGCCGCTATTCGCGTGGTCTGTCTCATCGATGCTTTACAGTGTACACTGAGAAATTACCTTCTCAAGAACTTGAAACATCGGTGTTACAAAATGTAAATAGACAGATATTCTGAAGCTGTTTCGTAATTTCTGTTGGTTTCTCTTTTTTTCCCTGTTTGTTGTTGTTTTCGTGTGTCGGTTCGATGATCTATGGATGAGAAAATTGCACTGTTTTTTCTCTCTTCTTTTTCTTCTCTCTGTTGTGGCTCTGCTGCCTTCGTGCCAATGCGATTTTCTATACGTTATGCACGACGTGCTTGTTGCAGTCGGAAGATGCTTGTTTGTTTCTCTTTCTGGCTTAATTGAAAGGCGTTCGGTGATTACGATAACCTTTCAAGCATCATCTTAATTAACAGGCGTTAAATTTTGCAATTTATGTCTACTTTTCCGTGCGCAAACACGCGCGCACGTCATTCACATTGTGATAATATTTCTTTATCATAATTCTTGCACGCGACCTACCCAAACCATAGTATAGACCATAAATTATGCCAATTTTGTGCTTACAAACCGACACTTTATGCTACCAAAATATCTTCTATGTGGTGTTAAATTAACGACATGATTAATTCCGAAAACGGCAAGAAAATTCAAATGTAGCTCGTAAATAAGATTTGATGGTGGAACCATCGTCTAATCAAGCTCAACACCGTAGAGCTAATTAATGTGTTGATTGATTGTAATTTTTAAAATTCGGTTTCGTTAGATTCCATAAAAATGTGAGCTATTCCTCAAAATGTGAATTGACCTTTTGGCATTTCATAATTGCATTGTTTTTCCGCTATTCGAAAGAAAAAATTGTTTTTTTTTCTTATCACAGCACACACACACACAGTGAAGTGTTAAGATTTTCCGCTTTTTGCCCATTAAACGTTTTTTTTTCTTCTTCTTCGTCGCTACTTTAAGTTGTTTAGCTGTCAGTTTGATGAGATCCAAAAATAGGCAAGCTAGTGAAGTATTTTACAACAATTTCTTTATTTTTGCTACAAAATCACAAAAATGGAACCCGAAAAAGTGGGTTCTTGCTATTGCTCAATCCGTTTCCAATTCATAAGTGAGATACATCAGTCGTTGGTATCTTCATGTGCACCGAAATGCACGCGATGATTGTTCCATCGGGGCAAAACACGTGCATGCACGAATATGTAGCATTCCATAAGACAGTCTCTATATGGTTTCATGTTCAATTGTTTCTAATCTGAATTGTTTATGGCTTTTGCATTGGGAATGACGCAGTGAAATGGATATTGGGAACAATTTCAATGCAGACTATTTTTCGAACACGATGTAAACATGTAAACATGATGTGAAAAGAGAGAGAGAGGTAGAGAAACACATTATACAGTAAATTGCTAAAGATTATCACATATATAAATTCATTGAAATGTAGAGAGAGAAAAAATGAGATTATCTTGTTTTCGGGAATGAATAAAAAGAAAAGCGAAGGATATTTATGAAGCGAAACAAAGCAAAAAGCTAATGCACCGAATAGCACTAGAGAAACAAAACCGAAAAATATGAACAATAGCAGCGTACGGTGTTGGCACATTTAATAGGGAACGAGCGGCAGAAGCTAAAATGATCGATGCAAATGAAAATGAAGCAATTTGATTGGTGTCAAATTACGAAATTATTAATATCCACCACGTGGACACGTGTTCGATTGGGAATCAAAAATGTCTTGAGACAAACGAATCTCAAGACATTTTTCTGTGGATGAGTCAAAGCTGTCGAATCGTGTTTGCTTCGTTTATTTTTATTTTCTCTTGTGTGTATGTCGGTTTTGTTCAAGAGAATGGGTTTCACTGCTCCGAAATTCAATGGTTTTTTTTTCCTTCTTGCGCTAACCGTAATCATCCATTCAACAATTCGTTTGTATTTAGATTCATTGTGTTTTTTTTTCTTTGCTCGTTTTCATTTATTATAACTCGCAGCCATTGAACGGTGTGTGTATGTGAACGACTGAATGTCGAGTGAAATAGATTTAATGGTCAAAATTGGATACGGATCTGACCGAAGCCGAAGGAAAGTGAGACGAAGACGCTAAATTGTTCAATTTATATTCCATTTTTCGTGTGTTTGTCTGTGCATCAACAACGAAGTATCGTCGATCATTTATACCTCATTCAAACTGTAGATGCCGATTTTGCTAACCGTATAAACGAGCCGTCTTTAAATTAAATTGTTTTGGATACCTTGGGGGTTCTCATCAATTGTCGCCTCAATCGATGATGAATTACAACCTTTAAATTGGCCATAATGCTGGTGCTAACGAAAATTGGCTAAGAATGCAACAATACATCGCATTTTTTCACGTTCATCAGTTATGGCATGGCATCACAAGAATTCGGTTGATCTGGTGCATGGCGCATTGTTAGAACCATCTCTCGACAACGAATAAAAAAACAACAACCTAATGCGGTCGCGTCGTGCGCTGTTTTAATAGATGTATCAATGAATATTTTATAAATAATTAAACAATATAATTTACATTTACAGCATATTGTGGTGATCGGCTGTAAATCTGTTAGCGCGAATTGACTGGGGTGCAAACTTAGAGCGAGCAAGACAGCAACGTTTGCAAAATCATGGCGCGATTATGGGGCAAAGAAAGAGCAAAAAAGCCACGGAACGGCAATTAACATAAACAACAATCAAAGCACAGCAATCAAAATAAACCTCTCTAAATGGCAACGTAACGCCGAATTACCGCACGTATTGTATTGATTGCTGGATTAAATAACAACAAGCGCAAATACCAAACACATCTACCGGTACTTTGGCGATGCGATACAAGATGATGATGCTGCTGCTGCTATTGTTGCTGCCTGTATTTTTCGCCTTGCATGACTTACATCCGTACTCATCCGCCAAACAACACACCGATCATCTACCTAAACACTGTTCTCTACACGAAGACACGACAAATCGACAGAGGAAAACAAAATAACTAATTAAACTATTGATGAGCAAATGGAAGAAAAAAATCCTATCAAATTTTTTCGATTTGAATTAAATTAATTTTTTTTTCTGTATTAAACGGAATATTGTGACTAGTTTCTGCTTCAACCGTTTTTCCTCTGCTTCAACCGCAAAATATTTCGAGAACAATCGGTGAAACAGCCGCGATACGAATGACCTTTAAGAATTTTTCTTAAATATATGTAAACCAGGTTGATCCGTGTGGCCAAACTGTGGGAAAAATGCGCGCCATCACACTCGCTGTGATATTCATTCATATATCAATCGTGTATGTCAGCACTTGTGCCTTCACTTTACGAAATCTCGAATGCAAATGCAAAAAATAATGTGTGTTCGAATGAGTGTATGTGTGTGTAAGTACTTACCAAAATAAAATAGAATTAAATACCCGAATGGTTTCATCGCCGAACGCATATGCTTCCACATCTGAAACCAGAAGAAAAATATTAGAAAAAACATGTACCTATGCAGTTTATAGTGGTATATTAATTCGAAGAAAAGATGTAAATGATTGAGTGGCCACTCACGGAATCAAAATAAATGAGTTTAGAATGGTTTGAGTCGTGAGAAAATCGCCAAAATCACGACGAAATCTATGAAATACTTCATCATGGTCAGTTGTTCAATTAACAGCAAAGTGGCTTCTTCAACCAACAACATCAAGATTCTTCACTCAAGTGAATCATTATTTTTGTTTATCAAATAGATTAGATTAAATCGAGAGAGAGAGAGAGAGAGAGAGAGAGAGAGAATTATTTATAATTTTCACACTTAAGACACTTAAGTTGCTACGATCATTACCAACCACAACAAAACATTAAGTGTTCAAAGTCTTTCCACAATGAACCTTCGTTTCCTTTTTATTATTATATTTCAGGCGTTGAAAATCCGTTGTACCATAGAATATAACCGGTTGGTTGTGCATTGAAAAGATTGATTATTGTTAATGCGTTAAACTACGCTGATGCTGCCGCCAGTAAGAACGCTGGCAAAATTCTCACGGAAAAGGTCACCGATCATTTTAATCTAATCAAAATTATGTTTCGCAAGTGAATAATTCATAAATAACAGCGTTTTTAATGGAATTATTAATAAATTTTATATGCGCCATTCATTCATTACATTCTATTGCACGGTTTCGCTTCGATACGTATTGTTATTGTTTTCAGCCCGTGCATTTATCTGCATAAATTAATATTCGCATGTTCTTATGAAAGCGTTTAATTTACATGAGATTCACTTAAGTGATTCCAGTGAATTGAGGAGTTTTTTTTGTCTTCACTTCGTTATTATTGGTATGGTTTGGGCAACGCCATTGGAGGTATTCAATTAAATTGTCAGTGACTGGGAAGTGACATTGCACTGACTACAAGATATAAAATGACATTAAAAACGATGTGTTAACCGTCTTATTTGCATAGCTTATTGTTGCTGCTGGTGCCACTGCCATCAATTCTTATGGCTTCTTCACAATTAAGTCATAAGCTATGGGATTGGCTTGTTAACATTTTTTTTTTCATCTGTGCACTGTAAGTGGATTTACCAAATTATCCAGCACTTTTGTCAAATGACTAGTCAATTAGTCATCAACAGTTGAAGAAGAGACGATTTTAACGATGCGGTTTAATGAAGAACTTAAAATATTTTTTTTCGATGTTTCTCAGTTTTGCGGAAGACCAGCTCATTCTTGTATCCAATTGGAAGAGTGAGTTGCATAACTGATATGGTCGTTAATCACCGAGTTTATATATCTGTAATTTTTTAAGTGCGATTTTTATTTATATATTTTTTTCTGTATGTGATATGGCTGGTTGTTCGTGCCGAAATGTCAGAGGCTGTTCCTTAACCAAATTGTCTGTCGCACTCAGTAGTGGGATTTGGCATTAAAGATGCTTTCGTAACTTGTCTCCAAAAACAAAATTCAGCAATAACAACGAATTTCACTTTCTTCCTTGCCCAAAAAGAAAAGATGTGTTATTGTGCTCGAAGACGAATCATGTTCATTCATTTACACCCCGATGATATAATGGAAAAAAATCTCGTGTTTATCCGTTGTTTCTTGATTTCACGCTCTTATCGTTTTTTATGTGCATTCTATCATTTGCCTATTATTTAGTGTATTTGCGTCTTGTGGCGAGTGAACGGTATTGTCGTGGTTTTTACCGCGCAAATTTTTTTCTTCTTCGTTCATTCCGATGTAATATGAGCAAAATTAGGCGTGAAATTGTTTGTACAAAAGTGTGGTTGAGAAGGTGAAGAGAAATTTGAGAAACTGTAAAAACAAATTATCTTTCTTTGTGCCTACACAAATTTGGTGTGTAACTGTGTGTTGTTTGAGTGATCGCGAGCGCACAAAGAGCAAAAGAGATCGTGTTATATTGATTAAACGAGAGTCGGAATGATGAAGCATTTCGGAAGGTTAACAAAATATGATCACTTTTACTCAATATTATTGTTTTGTATGAGATCACTTTGAGTCTCGTATTATTCAAGTAATTCATAGGCCACTCATTTTTTGTTGTTGTCAGAACGTTGTTAAACCAATTGTGGAAGTCGTAGAAAATGGTTGTTCCATCGATTGTTTTGATCCGAAGTTATTTCTGAAGCATCATCATCATCAACCACAACAACCATGAATGAAACTCACTTGGGAGCCCAAAATAGGATCTAATTAGATGAAATGAAGCTCCATCTTTATATTCAATGCAGGGGCTTTTGGAGTTTGTCTTATTAAATGTGTGTATCGAATAGCGCTCAAATCGCTGAACAATCATCAAAAATCATAGTTGCAAGAAGAGACAACAAACAATATTACATCTGCGTACGGTTTAACCCATAAAATCCATCACTAAACAAGATTGACGGAAAAACAGGCAAAACAAAAGCGGTATGAATAAATGCAAGCAGAAAAACCGCGCTCAACTTTACCAGCAAACACACATGCTTTGATTGAACTGTACAATTAAAATTCATTTGTAATTTACAAATCTACGTCATTGTGTTGTTTGTTTCGCTGCGCACTCAGTCTCTCCGATGGCTGTGGCAACCACACACAGAGAACGGTACGAAGCGCGCCAATGTAATGCCCGTTTTTTTTATTTACCATGCATGAGATTCTTGTGAAAAACGTTTCGCTGCCTCGTTCGTTCGTTCGTTCAGTCGTGTGTGTTTGTGTTTTTTTTTTCTTCTGCTTTTTTTTCTCTTCTTTTATCGATTGTTTGCAAATCACATTGCGAATACAAATATGATCATTGTTTATTCGTTTTGTTACTTTTTCGGTTCACGCACACTCATTTTAATGTGCGGCGCTATACGCCACACAATGCATTCGAAATGCTGGCTTTGCCGCATCAATTTTTTTCGTTCACACAGATGCGAGAGAGGGACAGAGAGAATAAGAAATGAAACATCACGATCTCAAAATTTTGAAACATCATATGGTTTCATATCAAAAAAATTTGAATTTTCGAACAAACAATTACAACCTCTTTCAAGTTTTGTTTTGCTTATGCTTTTTTCGAGTGAATCGCGATCTTATTTTTGCGTGAAATCATCATGCTCGAAAATTGATATATTCTTGGGGCGCACATATAAATTATTATTGTTGCATAATAATTTGTATTTGATATCAAGTGTCAGCGTTGATTTGCGCTTGATTGAAATCGAAAGGCGAGATAAGAGGTGAATCAATCTGTTTTTGTTGTGCAAACAATCAAACTTTTCGGAGCATGATTAACGCATTTGTTTCACTATTGTCGATTTTTATCGCGGCCGATGAGTTCTTTTTCCCTGTGGCGCACGATTTTTTCCGTCTTTTTTTTTCGTACAATTTCTGTTTTTGGTCGGGACGTTTACGCCCACATATTTACAAAGGTTACAAAGGTTGCATATCAAGTGACGACAACGTTAAATTGTAGTCTAAATTTATTAGCTGACAAAGATGTTGTAATCGCGTTTAAACAATGAGGTCATGCTGACCTCACCCATTGTGACTGGTGTGCTCCCGATCACACCAAGTGAAATTAATTCACGAGCCAGCTTTTGTTACCAAATCACGAAACCCTGGCAAATCTCAAAATGATGAGCCGTTTTTTTATATTTTTGTTTAATTGTTTGGCGATTGGCAATATTTCAATCATTCGGATTAGAATGCATTTTTGATCATGATCTCTCGTCGAATATGATGCAACAATAATCTGAAATTGAAATATATAGTTGCGTGGCCTGGGGAATTAGAAAAAAGGAAGCAGTTTAATTGATACCCAAATAACCGGCGAATTGATGCGATTTTAATAGCCCAATTCAGTGTAACGTTGAATTGAAGAAGGTTTTTCTGTCGAAGAAGCGCGAAAATGAAATGGTTTTGACGTTAATTTCATCCATTCTCATCTGCTCATATGGTATATATGATGATGATGTTTTTGACCTGAGCCGCAATTTTTTCTCCTTTTAATTTCTATCACGACAGCCAAATCTTAAATGCTAATGGCCAACGGATTCCAATATATGATCGCTTATGCAAGTATATTAAGGGCAAGGTTATGGTGGAGAGAAAAAGAAAGACAAAACGGGCATTCGACGAGAAAAGCGAATGAGACAGTCGCGCGACGATGACATCAACCTATAATTTTCATTACGGATGGCACTGTTCGACGTAAATACACTAATGAAATTACCTAACCAAGTCACGCAATCGGCTCCTTAATGCATTATTTCAACGGATTTCACAGCTATTGATCAAATAACTGTATATTATTTTTTATTTCCATGAACCATTTGGTGGCAAATGATCGTTTTGTTTGTTATTGGTGGTGTTGTTGGTGTGTGAAAAATGATTTTATTTGCTCATTTTGTTGAACTTCGATTGATTTATGGTGGTCATTTTTGACCATCGTCAGTATTTTTCTTTTCCAAACCGTCCTTAAATCGTTATTTCATCGCAAATTACGGTGACTTATTCCAATAAATCGATGGTAATGCTGAAGGTCATGGATACGGGACGCTGAACCAACTATCACAACGGTAAACATATACTTTGGCTGGCTGTCGATTTAATCACTTGATGGAAAGATTCGAGTGGGCTTCTCTTCAATGCGAATTCACGCAAATAACTGGTTATCAAGGAAATAAAAGCTTCGGTTCGTTAAATACAGAAATGGATTAATTACGCAGAAATGAAGCGTCTACTCGAAAGAGAGAGAGAGAGAGAGAGAAAGAGAGAGAGAGAGAGAGAGAGAGAGAGAAGAATGCGATGTAAAAATACCGCTCAACATTGAAGCTCGAAATATGCCAACATGTGAGCATTAAAATACTTTTTTCATTGCAACCAAACAATGGTACGCATCGGAAAACAATGTCGACAATTCGACGTCAACAGCTCTAAATCTACAATGATATATTGATCTGTTTCAAAAATAAATTTACCG